GAATAAGTTTAATAAAAGTATGATAGAAGTTTAATATATATTTCATATACAGTAAACGCTACATAGCAAAAACCTTTAAATTGTTTTAGGCTTACACATATATATAATTTATCAATATTATAATAGTGCGCATAGCCTCCCATAATTTCTAGTTATTTGTTTTAATAATTTTAATAGTTTTATAAATAATTTGTAAAACATTTCTATTTAAACAATTGTAAACAATTAATTAAGTGCATTACGGTCGTCAATATTAACTAGTAATTTATTAATTTTAATAATTAATATTATAAACATTTGTGTTAAAAAGATAATACAGAAAATGATTTAGTTATTTGTAAAAAGCACACTAAAATTAAATTAATTTTATTCTAACCTCACACATTTTTATGCACTTAAATATAACAGATAATTTATTACTTTACCCATAAAGTAAATAAAATTTTTAGATCCTATTCACAGTATATCCCAATAAGTGATTATAACCTTGATTGTTATAATTGTTAATTATATAATTTATATTAAAGTGTTATTTCACTTTGATGTCAACTAGCACATGTTACTGTAAGTTAGCATGAACTGAAATTTATACAATTAATCTTATATTCATTTGCCATTATTATTACATTACTAGATAAGTAAGGTAAACCTAAAATTTGAAAATAAAATCACATATGATTAATTACAATGTTTATTTCCGATTAGGTCATAGTTATAGTACTGTATATAAACCGCACACAAAACACTGAAAATTTATTGTTTCATCAAAAACAATTTTATTAATAAAATTTAAAATAATTGGTATATAGAGTGTATCATTATTTTATTATATTTTAAAATGAAATTGTTATTGTTAACAATTGTATTATATACCACGGTGCTATTGGCAAATAGCCGTGATATAACACCACTTACACTGTGAGGGTGCGGGCGTTCCCGTCACTTACGGTCACTTTACCGTCAGTTTCCTGACTCACGGGAACGCACAGGTAATGGAAGTCTACGTCCGGGATTCAGTCAATTATCTCAATCAATAGTAGACAGGTTTTTGGGTAAACTGTTTATTCATATACTGATGCACTTGTGATACAATTGGAAAAAAGTAACAAAAAGTCTCAATAATTAGAGATATTCTCCAAACACTGCAACCACTGACTCATAGTCAGTGATCAGTAATGGGAAAATCGAGAGCGAGTCCAGAGTGGGCTCTGCCTTATATACCATCGCATCCCTGTCCACCCATATAGTGGTGAATTTAAGCTCACGAGTGAAATGTGATATCCTATGGGTTAAGGATTACATGGTATGCATGCTATGGTGTGTTATACTGCTATACAATGGTACGGTATGTACTAAAGTACAGTACAGTACCAGAGTGCATACATAAGACATAGTACTGGACTGTATGTAAGGGATATAATAGGAGGGGAACAGGAGGTGAGCACTACTCCGCTCTAATATATTATGAGAGCTATATAATAGTGTTTAGAGACAATAAAACATTTTTTGTACTTTTAGTATTTTTTAACAATTGTATTATTAATACATCTTATCAAGTATGTTTTAGAACACTTTATTTTACACATAAATAAGTTTTTTTTATATAACAGCAGGTACAATAGTGTCGCAATAACCTTATTGTACTAAGTACAATGTACTTGTTATCATAAAAAATTAATCTTAACTTAATAAAATATAATACAATACTTAATATTAATAACACTATAAAGGTAACATTCACAAAGTACAAACACTGGGATGGGGTTGATACAAATACATAATTATCAATCACGATTTAAAATTATTAATAGTCATAATATTGGATACGCACTATGTGAACGTAAGTTTATATTGTATTATGAGCACATTAAGTGATAATTTTAATTAACCCCTACTGTAATAAAGTATAATTGTGATAAATAGTTTATGTCCGATAATTATCTATGTCTGAAAATATTTACACAATCTAGTTGCAATACCCTAAATGCTTTTACAGTTTCTAGAATTATATTAAAAATAGGCTTTCACGCGTTTAGTTATAATAGCACTAGCTTATAATAAAGTTGGTAACCCAGTTGGAGGTTTATAGAAACTAAAATTTTACTTTATATAAATAAAAGCTCAACATTTTATACTAATATTTATGTAAGGTTACTTATAAAAATCAGTAGACAAATAAATTATTAAGAAGTTTAATTTTATATAAAATTAGTTAATTAATTCCATATTGATATACGATAATTATTTAATTAACAACCTTATTATAATAATTAATTAATTTTTATATTACATTTAATTTAAAATCATATATTATATAATTTATTTGTATTACAAAATTTTCTAAATATAATTATATTAATTAATGTTACTTGTTCATTTTTAAAGACACCTAACTGTACACTATGGCCGACGCTTACGACGACAAACCATATTACGGCCCATTTTTCGGAGTCATGGGCTGTGCCTCAGCCATGATCTTCTCGGCCTTAGGCGCCGCCTACGGCACAGCCAAGTCGGGCACCGGCATCGCCGCCATGTCTATCATGCGGCCGGAGCTCATCATGAAGTCCATTATACCTGTCGTAATGGCCGGCATTATCGCCATCTATGGGCTGGTAGTCGGCGCACTCATAGCCAACAAAATCGAGAGGGCGGGTCCGGGAGGTTCATACGAGCTATACCACGGATTTTTACATTTAGGGGCCGGGCTTAGCGTAGGCCTGAGCGGACTGGCAGCTGGTTTTGCTATTGGCATTGTGGGGGACGCGGGGGTTAGGGGTACGGCTCAACAACCTAGGTTGTTTGTCGGTATGATCCTGATACTTATTTTTGCTGAAGTACTTGGTCTATATGGACTTATTGTGGCCTTGCTATTGTCTACCAGGGTTAATTAATGAATTATATGAAAGGGTGTTCATTCAGTACGTACTGCATTATAGTTTTAATGTTAAGATTTTAATTTGTTTATTTTTTAGTACATACTTAGCGAATGATTTATGTATTGATATTATTGTTTAATTACAGATTTATTATTTATGTATGTAAATTAATCAAGGTATTTTTATTTGGATTTATGGAATAATAAAAAGATTATTCTATATTTAATCAATACTTAAATATATTCGTTAAATACAAATTGTATTTAAGTATTGATAAATTTTAGAGTAGTTTATAGCAACGTTATTAATTATTAAAACTATAATGTCATTAATTATTATTAAACATAATTGTGTATTATTAAAAATTATTATTAAATGTATTTAATGAATGATTACTTATGAATGATTTATTTTACTTTATATTATATATATATATATTTTTTTTAATGAATTATTAATTTTGTTAAAAAGAATATATTCTGGAGTTGAATTGTTTTTTAAATAGCAGCAGCAAAAATTATATTAAATATTAAATTATATTAAATTATATAAAAATTCTTATATTAAAGTGGATTAGTATTCATTCGATTAACACATAAAGTACTATGCTAAAATTTAGAATCCAAATATAACATTAAAAGAATGGCAATTAAACCCAAAGTTTTTAATAAAATTATAGTATAAACTAGTTGTTATTATTTTAAAATCTTATTTGAATTAAAAATATGCTTTTGAAAATTGAACTTTATTTAATTATTAGATTGTACATTATCAGGATCCGTTAAAAAGCTTGCAAACATAGCTTGGTTATCTTATTTTACTTATTTTAAGTGATTAACAAATTAACCTAGCAAATCAGATAAAATGTTTTGCAGACTAAACTGATCATCATTAGATTGTCCTTGATTAGTAGCCGGTAGACCATTCATAGTTGAATCGATCCACGATTTAACAGCGTATGGGAATCCATAAACAAAGGGCGCTCCCAGTGGACAGCCTGCTTTGTTAAATGAGACAACACCCACCAACTGACCATTCACTGTTAACGGCCCACCGGAATCACCCTGGTCAAAGTAAAATGCTTAATTAATATAATATTATAATAAGATTATACATGATACATGAAAATAAAGTTTAAACCATGATTATGCTATCTTATAAAAGTGCTTGATACTAACTGAACAAAAACTCTTGTCTTTGTTTTGGGTGCAGAGCTGGTAATTGTGAACCTGTCCGCCCACTGATAGCAATTCCAGGGCACAGGTAGTCCGATCGATGATGGTCAATTCAGCCGTTTGCAAATTAACAGGGTCTGAATTGTTATCCGTGCCATTTGTCAAACCCCAACCGGTGACAATTGCTTTGGTTCCAGCAGGAGGGTAACTGGTGGCCAGGGTGGCGTACCTCACAGTGTCACTTTGTTGAACAGGGTTGGTTAGTTTCATGAGACAAAAGTCATACGCAAAGGTTGCCGGATTGTATTGGGGATGATATACGATTTTGGACGAGATTGTATTAAACGGTAGGGTATTTATATTTGTACCACCGTAACTTATGTCAGCATGTCCACCCTCGGGGATTCTAAAATTAAAAATATAAATTAAATTTATAAAAATGAGCATAACTAATATAATTAATATAACAATTTGGCTTAAATTTTTATAGTAACAGGATAAATGTTAAAATTAATTTTTATAATTTTAATTTCAATCGGTATTAAACATAATTTAAATTTTATGTTAGTATATTAATTGCTATTTATGGTCTACGTTTGGAATCCCGTAGGTCAAATGACCCCCTGTAGGTAAAATGTCCTGTAGGTCAAATGTCCCGTAGGTCAAATGTCCCATTGTAGGTCAAATGTCCTGTAGGTCAAATGTCCCGTAGGTCAAATGACCGAATACCACTGAGACGGCAGTTATTTCGATGACGGAAAACCCGTAGGGGTGGCGGATCCCTCGAGAGACGCCGCCACCACTTCCTTCTGCTATAATCTAAAACTTATGTCTAACTATCTTACTATTGACGGCTTTGTTAATGGTACTGCATTTTCAATGTTATTAGATACAGGATCTTCTCTTTCAATTATAAATAAAAAAGTTTTAGACAAATTTGATGACCTTTACATCGACTACTGTTCACACCCTATCATTAGATTAGCTAATGGAACTCACATTTCCCCTATCGGAAAAGTTATACTCGATGTTACGTATAATAATAAGATCTATAAAATATATTTTTCAATATTCAATAACTTACCTTTTGATATATTACTCGGCTTAGACTTTTGTACACAATCTAAGCTCACTATTGATTTCAATACTTTGGATTTAAAACTCACGGACACAGAAATATTCCCTTTTAATTTACATATTTTTGACGATAATTGTAACCAAAATAAGATTAAATGTTTACACACAACAAAAATACCCAAATATTCTGGTATATTTCTAGACATTTATACCCAATTTGACACACAAAGTGACGTAATTTTAATTCCTAAACCAGATTTGTTACATAAAAATAATATCATTAATGAATGCTATGTTCTAAGTGAAGACAAGAGTATGCGTGTGTTTGCGATAAACATATATTCATGGGATATAATAGTAAGACAGGGAACTACTATTGGGAGTGTCGCAACTGACGTAATAACAGATGAGAACCCCATTGAGTTACCCACAAAACTCACGGACTCCCCACCGAGAGTTGTGAATGACAGCAAACACATGGAAACTGATTCAGTATCATTAACTAATGAAGTGATTAAAGCTTCTGTTGACACTAAAAACACAGTAAATCCCTTAAATGTAAAACCAGTGGTGAGTTATACACCACAAACTCACGATACCGTGAGTTACCCCAAGGTATTAGAATTTAATTCCTCACCAAAACTCACGACTAATGATAAGTCAGTGCCCACTAACTCTGACCGACACTTATATAACACACTCATTGTGAATGATGTTGACTATAATATCGGTAGTCAACTAACAACAGATCAAAAACAAATTTTGTTAACATTTCTCGATAAATACAAACATTTATTTGCTAAAAATTTGTCATAATTAACACAAACACATTTAATAAAGCATCGAATAGTGACGGAAACAGATAAACCAATACACAGCGCCCCTTATAGAACTTCCCCTTTGGAAAAGGCTTCTTTGGAACAACAAATCACCGAAATGTTGGCCGCGGGTATCATCCGTGAGTCTAAGAGCCCTTACTCAGCACCGGTAGTGATGGTTCGCAAAAGTAACGGCAAATACCGCCTTTGTGTCGACTACCGGAAACTCAACGCGGTTACCAAAATGTGTTCCTATCCTCTGCCTAGAATAGACGAACTGATGGATGCATTTACCGGATCCAAGTACTTCTCCACTCTCGACATGTATAGTGGTTACTGGCAGATCCCAATGGAAGAGGCCGACATTGAGAAAACTGCATTTGTAACAACATTTGGGTTGTATGAGTTTCTTGTGATGCCTTTTGGCTTACGTACAGCACCAGAGACTTATCAAATACTAATGGACAAACTATTTGCTGGCCTGAAATACAATATATGTGTTATGTACCTCGACGATGTAATCACGTTTTCCGAGACATTTACTGACCACATTATGCGGCTAGAAAAAGTGTTTAAAGCCATCGAAAACGGTCGCTTAAAACTCCAGCCCGAGAAGTGTTATTTTGTGAAAGACTCTATTCGCTACCTTGGATGGGTCGTAACTTCTCATGGAGTAAGTCCCGATCCTCAAAAAGTGACCGCTATTACACATTATCCCAGTCCGCGAACTGTTAAGGAAATCAAACGGTTTCTGGGAATGTGTAGCTACTACAGACTCAATTGAAAACTTCTCAGAACTCGCGGAACCACTCATACATCTCTTAAGAAATAACGTTGAGTTCGTGTGGACTGAGTTACAAGAGTCCGCTGTAATACAACTCAAACACGCATTGGCCACAGCGCCAGTTCTCGTCCATTACAACAAAGATTTGCCCATAAAATTGCATACAGACGCCAGTTATAGTGGGTTAGGGTATATACTTTCCCATACTATTGATGGGAAAGAGCATCCGTTCCGCTACGGGAGCCGCTCACTTAGAAATGCTGAGGTCAACTACGGTGCCACCCATCTGGAGGCGTTGTGTCTGGTTTGGGCCGTGAAGAGTAATCGTCACTATTTACACGGAGTGTCTCAGCCTTTCCAGATTGTCACGGATCATCATAGCCTGTGTTGGATGTTCCGCGCGAAGAAGCCACCCGCGAGAATCTGCCGTTGGGTTCTTGACTTACAGGACTATGATTTCACAATAGTCTATAAGTCAGGTAAAAAGCATACCAACGTTGACGCCTTGTCTAGAGCTATTCCACCGTTAGAATCGTCAAAACTCACGGTACTCAACATCGAAGCTATAAATGTCGCGGAAATGCAACTCACGGACAGTTGGATTAGACCACTGATTGATAAGATGACGACAACTGATACTCAACACCGGATTGGCAGTCATACCTACGAGTTCATTGAAGGAGTATTATATCGTGTAGTAGACACCGGTTTTGAAATACTGTACCAACAGTTAGTCCCTAAACAGCTTCGCAAAGAACTCCTACATACAGCCCACAATGATCAGATCTCAGGCCATCTTGGGATAACTAAAACTTACGGACGCCTCACCCAGCGTTTCTATTGGCCAGGAATGTTCAGAGCCGTTACCCGATACGTGACTTATTGTGTTGATTGTCAGACCAGAAAGTCACCACCCGGTAAACCCGCGGGATATGGTCAACTTATGGAAGTGGCTTCAATACCATTCTCAACAATGGGTTGTGATTTACTCGGGAAATTTCCCAGGTCCGACAACAATAAAATATATGTTATTGTTTGTGTTGACCACTGCACACGTTACGTGGTTACCGGCGCCTTGGAGGATATTCGTGCCGAAACCGTCGCTAACTTTATTATAGAGAAAGTTGTTCTCATTCACGGTGCACCCATGAATATTCTCAC